AAAACGTGACAGATGTGATGTAAACTCATGCAAGTACATATGTATATATATATATATATATATATATATATATATATATATATATATATATACATATGTACTTGCATGAGTTTACATCACATCTGTCACGTTTTGCGGGCCACAGCATTTATTTTGTCCAATTCGGTTCCACGCATTCACCACCCATGGAAGTCTCCAAAGTTTTTCTGCATGTTGATTCAGCTGAATCTTGAGAATTTTACGTCCTCATCACGAATGTCGTTGAATGCTGTTCGTGAGACAAGTCCAGCACCAATTTTCCCAGATAGCCAGATAAGATGCTACGCTGGCCAGCGCGGAGTTGAACTAGCGCTTGAGTAAATTGAACTGTGTGCTTTTCATGACTCGTATTAAAAAAGTGCTAGCGATTCAGTTAAACCGAATTTGGAAGTGGTTTGGTGGCTAGCTAAACTACTGGAAGAGGCACCACCATCTAGTCCTCTGATGGCAATTACTTCGATAGGAGGCATATTCCAAGACAAACGTGCTCGACTAGGAGATGCCTGCAGGTTCTGTTTTGTTCGTCTGTACGCCGTTGTCGCCTTGTTGGTAATTCATTTGGCAAAACATACGTATAGAAATCGTACTTTTTATCCGAGGAACAATAGCTGGTGGATGAAAGTGCTCCGGTTCGAATTCGTCTTGTAGGAAGTGTTGCAAGCAGACAAATTTGATCTCGTCTTCATAGGTGGCTGGCGAACCTCATTTGTGTAGATGTTCATCTAGAATTTCGGCCCGCGGGAAAGTGTTTTCTAATGGAGTATGCTGTGCCAATAGAACTTCAGAATTTTGTGTGCGTGTGGTTGCTGCCTTGGTTGAGTATCTGTTCTTTCAGTTTCAACCAAAAGTCGCTGTAAGAATATTTGTCGTGAAATATCTATGTGTCATCCATGAGCAGCTTGGAAAAGAAAGGGAAAATTTTACGAAACTTTTTCACCAACTCATTATCAAACGTTTACGGGACGATGCCTAATTTTCCTTGATCACTGCAATCGACGAGCCTAATTTCACGTCTTCACGGACCTACTGCTTTTTCGACAATAGACGATAATATTTCGATAAACTGAAAAAAAACGGGCCAAGAGCGTTACGAATTGTAGGACGGACTTCGCTCTATCGCTTTGTGGGTATAAGTCATATATATATATATCAACGGATTACCGCTTCATCGTGGCTGGAAGGTATTCCTGGGTGTCGGACTGCGACGTGCAGCGGGGGGTTCATCCTCCTGGCAGGATCACCCAAGCTGAGTAAGAGTCCGGTGTTTCCATCAGGAAGCCTAGCTAAGAACAAGCCAATACCAGGATCCATCACAGTCCTGGTATGAAAGTCGCATTATGGCAAATCTCGTTCTGATCCGCAAGGGCTGCGACTGCCTGTGGTGTTGAAGACCTGGGGCAGACTTTGACCAGGCTTACCTTGGGATTTCAGGGAACAAAAATGGCTTAACCAGCAAGTCTCCTAAAAATGGAGATTGTGCTGGGGCCCACACAACCAGTGAGGACGGACCATTCAAATATCAAGTGAGTATATATATATATATATATAAATATATAATTTTACTATTTACCGTGCAATAGGACCACAGCGAGAGTAACAACTAGTGGTACATTTTTCGTATGACTGAGTAGAATTATGCATAAGTAATTGTTGAGATTTAGAACAAATAATAAGTTTTATGGCTTCAGTTTTGGTGCCGAGTGGTTCTCTTGAAAACTTCAAGAGAACATGTTATCCTAGATTGTTATTAAGCGTTACCGAAGCGTTTTAACTGTTCTGATCACATTAAAGATCCATACATGTTTAGTGAACTTTGGCAACCTTGAATTCTGAATTGAATAAACTTTAGATGACAATATCTTCTTTCCTAGCGCAGTAAATGCTATTGTGTATTCGGAAATAAATGTATGAAATGCAGCTCACTTGCTTGAAATCACAGGTTTATCAGTCAATGGTAGAAGCGACGCTTGGATTTAAATGTAGTTGATGAAACATGAATGCAAAAACGCATAGATACATCATCGATTTCGAGAATGTCGTCGTCATCTCTATCTTACTATTTAAGGATGTTCTATTTCATTACACTCTATCCATTCGTGGGATCTCGATTATCGTTCATTATAGTGTTTATAGTTCTCGTGCTGTCGATTTTCAAGCTTAAATATGGAATTTAGAAGTTTCTAGTATTGAAATGGTATTTTGTTGTTCTGGAAGGAAAGATGATCAAACAAGAACTATTGAACGTGAACTCAACAATGAACGCAAAATTCTGAGACGGCAGGTCTGTGTTCGCATCCAGGTGATTTAACGATGGGGATGGGAACTGTTCCAATAGAATTAACTGCTCGCTAACAATTTATCAACTTGATTCTCTGGTCCGTGTAATAAATTCGTGTAAGAGAAAGAATTCTCCATATTTGCAGTAACGAATACTCTTTGAACATTCCCACGCCAAAAGCTGATTCCGAGTTTGAAATAGATTATATATAAGTCAATGAAGCTTGGTGCCAAATTTTTTAAAACTCTTTAAGCGGTTGAGATTTTTGTCCTGAGTTTTTGACAACACTCATATCTTTGATGTTGCTAGTAAAACCTCTTTGATGATTGTGTTAGTTTCACGATAGTTTCGTATCCGTTATTTTAGCGTTTAGAATAGAAGAGCAGTAAATCATTCAAGTTGCCTTCCTTTAATGTGTAACTTCTGAAAAACGCACACTCCTATAAGCTATTGAGACTGATTAACTGTTTGCTTCTGAATGAGCGAAAACTGGGTGAAAAATTCCAAATCGAACTTTTATCAATAAATGCACGACGACGTAAGCGTTTCAGGTAAAGGTACTGCTGCTTGGTTCAGGTGAATCTGGAAAGTCAACATTCATTAAACAGATGAACATCATTCATGGAGCAGGAGAATTTACAGCAGATGAAGTACGAGCGTATCGTCAACAAATATATCAGGTTCATTCTCGAATAATTCATCGGATGGTCTTTCTTTTCAAGAAAACTGCATGAAATGGGCTTAGTTGTTGAGCTTTTGAACCAGCGTTTCAGAATGTTATCTCAGCCATGCGGGTGCTACTAGATGCTCGAGCTAAGTTAAACGTTGCATGGGAAAATCCTGAACGATCGAATAATGTTCCGAGAATAATGAAGTGTGTTTGTCTTCGAACGATTTCGTCCTTGAATCTTTGAGTTGTGAGTAGCTTTCTTCAGAACGGACTGCCCGACTCCCTAAATTTAGATTCACCGTTGCCGATCTACTGAGAGGAATTGATTATACTACGTTTGCCGACATATCGCCGGTGATCAAGGATTTCTGGGAGGATGCTGCCGTGAGGCAAACATTCGAGAAGCGCAATTTATTCCAAATTGTAACCGTTTTAACAGATATAGACACACACACACACACACACACACACACACACACACACACACGTGCATACACAGTTTTCGTGCAGTTACGTTGAATCCAAAAACACAAACCAACCATTTCAGAGCGATTCCTGCCAGTACTTCTTCAATCACCTGAGCAGAATTGCTATGCCAAACTTCCATCCGACGAATAAGGACATACTCTATTGCAGAAAAGCAACACGAGGGATTTGTGAACACACATTTGAGATCAACAAAATTCCATTCAGGTTTTTTTTTATGATCGTCAAAGATGTTCTCAGTTTTCTATTTTAACTTCGCCGTTTAAAACACTTTTTGACTTTGAATTCTTGGTTTACATCCCTCTCAACTATTACCAGAGCAGCATTTAGGTTTATCGACGTTGGTGGCCAACGATCTCAACGGCAAAAGTGGTTTCAGTGTTTTACTGATATCACTAGCATATTATTTATGGTGGCTTCAAATGAGTATGATCAGGTGTGCAATTCATTTTTTGTCATTGCTGATAATAACATAGTTAATAGGGATGAATCAAATTAATAGTAATGGTAAAAGTAGTAGCAATGACAACGTACAATAACCTGAATTCGAAGGGTTACTGTTTACAACATTAACAGTAATAGTAACAATGTGATGTTGAGATGTTTGCAAAACTCCGGACCGTGGGTGTCTGCGGTGGGAACAAACGCGCTATTACCCTTTCCGGGGCTAATGCGTTCACTACCTCATCATGCGGATCCTTCTCTACGCCTACCCTGTCGTAATAAATTATAGAAGGCAGTAAATAAAAGGGTTAAGATTGTGATTTCAACTTCAGCCTTAGTTTAACTGGGTTTATTGTCGTTTTAGGATTCCCAGATCAATCCTATTGACGGATGATTGCTGATGCGATGCCACTGTTCGATAGAGCCAGCTAAGAGACAGGCAAAACGAAGGGCCCGCATGGTATGGTGATAAACGCGTTAGCTCGGGGAATGGTAATAGCGCCTTCGTTCCCCACCGAAGACACCTGCGGTCCGGAGCTTTGCAAACACCTCAACATAATCCTTTTTTTATTTCATATAATACTCTGCCGTGAAGAATTATAGTAGGCAGTGTGGTTAAGTAACAATGCGATTTCACCCATTCCAGTGATAATGATATTAACAATGGTCATAGTATTGACTTTTTAAATTTATTTTACACGTTCCATCATAAGATTTATTGTGAGTATCCTAAAACTTCCTGAATTCGATACGTTTTCCTCGCATTCATCATCCACGAAGGTATCCGAACTTTTCGCATATGAGTTCGGCCACTGCTAAAGGATTGTCGTCTTGTTCATATATATCGTAGAGTGCTAATCGAGTTGATTCTCTCTGAAGTCCTGGGTCAGCCCGGCTGGAACGTTTGCATTCGGATTGCAGAGTGAACAGTTCTCAGACGAGTCTTGTGCCAATTTCTCAAGCCCGAAGGAATGACAGGCTTGGTGAACCAAAGGCAGGGTCTAACTATCAATGTACTCGTGGTGGACCATGTTAGTACCACTGCCTCGTCTGTCTGCTTATTAATAATAATATTATTATGCCCACGAGTCTTTAACTCTTAGTTGGAATTCCTATAAAGACAAGAATAAGATGTTAGTAACACATTTGATGTAAGACCGGCTTGTGCGAAAATCAGTACTTGCAAATCATTTTTATCCTTCGTTGTGCACGAATTGTAGGTGGATAATGAATGAACTAACCGTTGCTTCGAACAGTCTGCGTTAAATTACGTAGATTTAACGGTCGCTCCGGATTTAATTTTGAATGGAGTCTTAAATTTTTCGAATTAATAGGCGTCTTCTGTTCAGGTGATTCTGGAGGATCGTCGAACGAATAGAGTGGTCGAGTCGCGGTCTGTGTTTGAGACAATTGTCAATAATAGAGCGTTCTCTAATGTCTCCATCATTCTATTTATGAACAAGAGTGACCTATTGAAAGGTAATTGTACAGTATGTTACAGTTTTATTCTATCTAGTAGTTTAGAAGCTTCCCAGTTTTTGTGTTCAATCTTTTTGGCACTTCCTCGAGTAGCAACCGCGAATTACTTTTCAGTGCAATCTATGACACACCGAAGAACTTGTTCGGTGTGTAGTAACTACTAGGAGTCAGTTTTGTTATTTAGTCAACTCAGTTATCCATTATTTCACCAATCCTACGCATCGTGAGGCCCACAGCACATCAAGTTTTCTCTCTGTGGAGTTCATTGTGTTTTGAGGTAGTACGTCTCCATCGTTTTTAGATCTTTATCAGAAGAGATTCACTGATTTCCCTCACCGAGAGTTCCACAGTCTGTTAGTCGCGAAGCTACGTGGCTTATCCCTAGATAGCAAACGAATGGTAATGTGGACCAAAAGATACGTTGTGCTTTCTCCAGACGAAGGTGAATCCTGGTGGTGAACTCTCCGTTTCGCTGCGCCGATTTGACAAATACTTTCTGTGTTTGGGTAGATATGTTCATGCATGCACCCGTGGATATGTTCTCATTTGTGGATATTGTATTGTACAAATACTTTGGCCAAAAATTTAGATAAGGCCAAGTTTCTGCAATTAAGTAGCTGGGAAGGTAGTTAGGAATTTCTTCCAACATGTAAGCTTCGTGTTTATTCTGTGAGAGACCTGCCTGCCAGTGTGTATACCTAGCCCTCACGCTAAGATCTCAGTGAGCTAACCATGGCTATCAATAGATGTGATGTCACATGTACAATTGGAAAGCCACTGATCGATGTTGCGAATTTCTTCCCGAAGCTCCTAGAAGAAAGATGTGGTGTACAGCGATGGAACGATTATAACACAGTACATGATAGAGAACTATGGGCATTTTATTTGCGCTCACTGGAGTCACTCAACGATTAACCGGAGAACAAGTGATAGAGGTGATTAGGAAAAGGCCCTCATGTAGTTCAAGGAACATTTTTGCTTTCTTATGGCTGAGGTCTGTCATTTCATGTCTTACAGGCTTTTTGGTTGCTTCCCTTTGTTATCGCGTTCGGTTCCGGCTAACACATGTTAGTAACCCAAACTCTAGTTTAATTAAAGTACGACGACAATATATCCAAATATTTTTGCGGCTAAGTTTTTCCACGTCTATTTTTTTTATCCTCATACGTTTTTGTCGTTTCTTCTGCAATTTTGAATCGCGTTTTTTTGTTCACTTTTCTTTTATTTTCTTTTTTCTTTTACAAAGAATTCGATAGAAGAGCCGCATTGCCATCATTCTGCAAATGTGCGAAATACTCAACCTAAATTTACCAGAAAACTCTTCTTCAACCAAGCTTTTAGGTTTACCGTTAATATTCTCTCCGAAGGGCGCGTGTGACGCAGTGGTTAGAGGCGCCACTGCGACACAAGCGTGGAATCGATCCCCGCGCCCATGGGCCACCAAGCCTTCCATCCGTCCGGGGTCGGCAAATTGGTACCAGACTTGTCTGGGAGGATAGTAGCACTGGCTCGATACATCGGTGGGCCACTGCGAGTTATTGTAAAGGCCAGATATGCATTCACTCACCTCCAAAAAATACTCAACGAAGTCGAATGCATGGCGCATCCCTCAGGGATTGATCAAAGCCGAGAGCTTTATCCTTTATTTTTCATAGTTTATAGTTTCTAGTTTCTAGTCTATAGTTCCTTTAGTTTATAGTTATAGTTATGAATTTCTGTGCTGTATAAAATTAAAATGGAGGTAAAGCATTGACTTAATGGCGTGTTTTGACAAGTTAGTTAATGTGTTAACGCAGCCCAGGATGGAACGACATTCGTAAAGACGACGGAAATTCTGAGGACCGAAAGTTCTCGCTACCAATGTACGATTGGTGTTGAGAAGTTTTAAAACATCAGAATGGTGACTACTTTACGAAAGTTTTCTTCTAAAAAGCTGAAAATATAGAGGACAATCAAGGGCTATTTGATGGAATGTGCGGTTTCTGTGGCCATATTTTGTGGTCATCTGTGAAGCCGTTAGTTATTGCGCGAGTGCAGTGACAGTTTCTTTCGACAGCTCTCGATTTCCGCCAGCCGACAATTACACACCTGCTCTTTTCATTTCATTGTTTTTTTTTATTTTCATAATTATTATGTTTTTGAATTAGTTTCATCGAAATTTTCTGCACTCTGGTCGCTGTCTTTGTCAACGTTCTACTTTTTTCTGAAAATAGGGTTTCATTCTCTGCAGAGAAATTACTGTCGTTCTCTGAGAAACTAGCATTGAGTGTTACATATTTGTTTTCAACTATCTATCTAATTCTATCAGACATTATTTTTAAATTCGGAGCGCGTTTCGTCAATTTTCTAATTCTCAACGATTTTCCGGTTTCAGCGCCCCCGTATAAAGTCGCCGTTTTCCAACAGTGGCGGTTGTATCCATAGCATCCTATATTATGAGCGACATAATAAGTGGAGCCGAAATAATATTGCTTGTTTCATTTCGTTTGCATACAGCTATACTACTTCCGCGCTGTTTCTCTCATGTAACCAGAAAGGCGTTGAATTTTGAAGAACATTTCAACCAACCGCCTTTCCTTCAATCTCGGCGTGACTAATCAACATGTATTTCTTCATTGATAAGCTAAATATATATATATATACATATATGTACAACTTTTATTTGGCTGGCGTGCGATGCTTAAAAAGGGTAGATCTAGAGGAATCGGTAGCGATAGTTGAAATACCACTAGAACCCTCTACCTCGTCAGTTAGTCAATAACCGCTTGTATTAGCAGGGAAGAATGCCCTGAGATAACGGGTGATCTAGTCCCGTATCTCAGAACTGATTTTTGATGTGGGATGGTGCAACAATCAACCATGTGCGACTCTAAGAGGCTGTTCTTCTATGGTGGAAAGCAACTAAAAATGGTGGGCTTTTCGAGAAACCGGTGATCGTGTAATTATTGTTCAGATTTTCATTTTTCTGTTTGCGTTGTTAAAGCGTTTCACCTAGTAAATTACACATAAGTGTACCCTTCCAGGCTCTGAAGAAGGCGGTACTTCCGAAACGTCGGCTACTGTTGTGTTACATGTGTTATATTTGTAAGGAAGTAAAGGTGTGCTGAATAACAACCTCGCGATTGCTGTAAAAAAGAGAACAACAGATTTATAATCCAATGTCGAGATTAACAGAAAGTCGATCTTGGGAGCCTCCTCATTCTGTTTGTCTTCTTGTCTAATAACTGTTGCTAGGTTAATTCTTCTCTTCAATTTTTTTTTACCAATTTTGAGCTTTGCAATCTTCTTTTCTTTTAAGAATTCAAACTCGGCCATTGTGCAGCAGAGACCTCTCGAAAAATTGATGAAGTTTCGTGTGAAGGTCGTGTTGGTGAATCAACAGTGCGAATATGGTTCTGGAAATTCCGATCTGGTGATTTCAACCTCGAAGATAAGGAAGCCCGCGGAAGTTCCAATGAACTAGACGACGAATTGAAGTCACTACTGGAACCAAAACGCGCTAGCAACTGTAGAAGAGCTTTCAGAACAGCTTGTCGTAAGCACACAAACAATTTCCGCTCACTTCAATCACGTATGCAAAACAAAAATGCACACAAGTGGATGCCTCATGAATTAGACTATAATAAAAAAATAGCCGTTTTGAAGTGCCATCTGCTCATATTTTTGGCCATAAAAATGAACCTTTTCCTAATAGAATTGTGAAGTGCGACGAGAGGTGGATTCTGTACAACAACGGGCAACTGTACAAGTGTTAAGTGCAGTGGATGGATTGCGACCAGGCTCCACAGCGCTTCCCAAGCCCGAAACTGCACCAAAAACGTTAAGGTGAAACTTCGCCTCATACACCGTATTCATCAGACCTCTAGGCCACCCACTATTACTTCTTCAAGCACCTTGACAACTTCCTGCTCGAGAAATGCTCTACCAACCACGATAACGCAAAAAATGCCTTCAGAGAATTCAGCGCTTCCAGAACTCTGGAACATTAAGTAGTTGGAATAAGTAAACTTATTGCTCGTTGGCGAAAATGTGTAGATTCAAATATTTTTTGCTTTGTTTAATAATGTTTTATTTGAAGCAAGCTACGACCTTTTAAATAACATCGTTAAAAAACTCACAAAGGTATACCGCCTCTTCGTGGCTGGGAGGTGTTCCTGTGTGTGAGACTGCGTTGTACAACGAGGGATTTATCTCTCCGGCGGGATCTCCCAACTGAGAAAGAGTTGGCGTTTCCATCAGGAAGTCTAGCTACGAGTAGGCCAAAGCCAGGATCCACCACCGTCCTGGTATCAAAGTTGCTTGGTGGCAAATCTTCCTTTGACCCACAAGGGCTGCGACTGCCTATCGTGGTGGCGATCTGGGGCAGACTTTGGTCATGTTGACCTTGGAACTCCGGGGAACCCAATGGCTAAACCAACAAAGTTCCGAAAAATGGAGAATTTGCTGGAGCCCACACAGCCAGCCAGGACGAGTCGTCCAAGTGCATAAGTATGGTTAAAACAGTCATTTATTTCTGAACAACCTAATGTATCACACTTGCGCATCATATCACTCCACCCGCCTATAACACATCATTTTCTCAATACTAGCATTCTCTAAGGGCGCGGGTGGTGCAGCAGTTGGGGGTGTCCTGCGACATGCACGTGGGATCAGTGCTCGGGCCGGTGGCTTGGCATGCCTTCCATCCATCCGGTGTTGGCAAATTGGCACCAAACTTGTGTGGGAGGATATCAGCACTGGTTCGAACATCGGTAGGCCACCTCAAGTCATTTTAAAGGCCAGATATGCATTCAATCACCTCCAACGATGCTTAATGAAATCGAATGCATGGTGTATCTCTCAGGGTTTGATCAACGCCGAGAGTTTGTCCTTTTTTATTTATTCTCTCCGAACACTTTGCTTCATTGAAAGTTTTACTACTTGAACTACTACTACTACTCTACTTTTACCACGTTTCTGCTACTCTCTACTACTTAGTCCTACTTTTGCTTTTACTTGTCAATACTTCAGTTTGCTTATTTAAATTAGAGAAGACGGAGGCATAGTTCCAGTAAGTAATCCTGACTGTTCTGTTTTCTTCAACAAGAAGCAAAATCTCGTGTTTCACCTTTTATCTGCCACTGAAATAATGAAGATGATATTAATTAATTCTAACACTTCAGAGTTTCTTTTTCACCTTTCATTCCCACGCCGTAACAATTATAAAATAATTTGACATTTCTCTCTGGAATTAGTTGAAGTTATAAAAATTTGCTTCATACCGAGTGTTAGTTGTACACTGACTCATGCCGTTGTTTTCAGAAAAAGTACCAAAGTCCGATATTCGGCAGTACTTTTCCGACTTCACGGGCGATCACCTGTGCGTTCGAGACGTTCAATTCTTCTTAGTCGACAAGTTCGAAACTTCACGAAAAGATCGTGCTCGACCATTCTTCTACCATTACACTACAGCTATCGACACAGATAACATAAGACGAGTATTCATAGACGTCCGAGATACAATACTACAGCAAAATCTTAAGTCGCTAATGATGCAGTGATATTTAGTATATGAACCGCTTTTCTATGTAATAGGAACGCAGATGTTTATGTACATTTTTGTTTCGATTTTCGGCAGCATTTTGCTTTCAAACACTGATGATTTGATGGCTTTACTATTCTTTACGCTCAGTGAACTATGACAAAGATTGAGTCCACTAAAATGTACAAAAAGTAAGTGGTAGGACCATAAGCAATTTTATGCATTCGTTTTAATAAAGTCTCGTCCTAAAACATATAAGTTTTGAGGGCTGCTATTCGGATATTCAGACATTTCTAGTAGTCGCCGTAGATCTACTCATCAACATCACGTACGCCTAGTCTGGATATTCACTGGATTGAGTGTGTATCCATATCTGACTTATGAATTTGAAATGAAAGGAAGAATCATCTTCAGTGTGTTAGCTAAATATTAACTTTGATTAGTACTTTCCGGTTACACATGATCAAAAAAGCAAGAATAATCAACCTACGGAATATTCTGATTGCTGGTAGCACTGATCGATTGAGCAAGCTGAGAGACAAGCGAAACGAAGGACCTGCATGGTGTGGTGGTGAACGCGTTAGCCCCGGAAAAGGTAATAGTGTGTTCGTTCCCCACTGCAAACACCTGCGGTTCGGAGTTTTGCAAATATCTCAGCAGAGATTGTATTTCCTATATCCTGCCGTGAAGAACCGCAGCAGACAGCAAATAAAAAGTTGGCTTAAGAAACCTAAGTAGTTTTTCATATAGCAATGTAAGTGTTGCAGAAATTTTCCGGTTTAAAACTAAAACTCAACGGGTCAAAAATTTATTTAAATTTTAGGCCTTTTTCTCAATATGTTGAAGTGCAGTGGAATTTGGCAACCCTTTCTCTAGCCACTCTCTGATTATCAAATTATGTGCAGTGGGCGCTAGAGAAGTCTTCTGTTCCCTGACAAACGAAAAAATTGCTCAGTGTGTTCTACTCGGCTCCAGGTATGCCAATAGCGACGTACTTTTTCTTGTGCACTTAACATCTATTGGGACGAAGCTGTCGATGTGGCGATGATGAACAACTGTTGATCGTCGGCTCTGATCATCGGGTCTAATGAAGGCGAAGACGTTAAACGTCAACCGAATAAAAGTACTTTATCAACCTCGTGTAACCTCAGCAATTTAAAGGCATGTTGATTATTCTACTGCCGTGGTAAAGTGGCAGTCGGTTTCAAAATACATCCTCGATCACTGCAGAATTTAAGGAGTTGACAATTTCACAGATTTTTGTCTAAGAAACTTTGTTTTACCCCTTGATTGCGCACAGAAGTTCTACAAAATATTTCTGGAATTTTATGCATGCTAGTGTTTCACAAAAGAAAAAACAGAAAGTACACATAAGCTTGATTTATACGCGCGCATAATAGAGACCGTAAATAGTGGAGCAGTGGTAATGGATGGGGCTGCTGCATTTGTGAGTGCGACAACAATGCTCGCGGGTAGCGCGCCACCTAAAACACCAAATTACCGTCTTCCGATCAGACTACATAGAGCGGACAGTGTATACAGGACAACAGTGGGAAAATGGATAGGCACTTCCACTGTAGCACATTTGATATCTACTTTAACCTTTATTCATGCTACAATAGTGAGACAGATTTGTCAACCGGCAGACTTTCCCGGCAATTTGCCATGTAAACTTAATGCTAAAAATTGCACACAATATCATTTGAATGAGACCAAGATATAAAAAAAGCTAATTCCAGAGTCCATCCTTCTGCGGCATTAAACACTTGTTCACATGCTACTTTCCAAAATTAAGGGTACCTGTTGATTGTATCCTCGCGAAAGACAGTGTTGGGTACCGTCCAATTTCGTATCGAATGTCCATTTTTTGGTTGGCCATTTTCTCTCCGTGAAGTTCCAAATCATGGCTAGTGTATCGTCAACAGTAACAATTTACCGCTGTTGTGGATATTAATATTTTTATGTAACTTTTGTTATTGTTATTATTATTGTTATGCTTATTACGTTATTGAATAGACTTTTCTGTCCTACTTTTAGCTCGCAATAAGGACGGTTCTAACACGATAGTGATCGATGGAGAGAAGTCTCTTGTATAATTCCGTGAGTCAACAAGTTCTCATATATCGACGTTACCCAAGAAGTCAGTTATCGGAAAGCTAGCTCCGGGCGCTTTGTGTCATACTTTGGATGTTAGGAAACCGTGATTATACCTGGAAATCCAGGCTAGACCCGAAGATCAACACCTCATGTAGTAGCGGAGTCGATAGTCGCTAAACTTAAGGTTAAACCAAATACTGCACTGGGTAAGCATGCGACAGGGAGACACATCAGAAATCAGAAAAAATTTGAAGTAAAGTAAGTACACTTGCACGGAGGTCGAAATCATGAGCCCGCAAAACTCTCGAAGTATTCTGGGTCAGTCCCAGGAATCCAAAATATACAGCAAGGCGGAATTCCTCACTTCACGTGAGGTCCTACGCAATATCCCAGATTGATATTTTAATATGAGAGAACCTCATTACCCATTCATATGAACTGTTTGCGGTTCGTCTCCACGTTAAATACTTAGTGGATTACTCAAATAAATGGTGCAGTAAGTGTGTAAAGAAGCTATCTTGTTTCCAATGCGATTGAAATTTGAGTTTAATTTATCTGTTGGGGTTGTGGAGGTAGTTAACCGAATAGATCACAGTCAACTTAACATTTCAAGGATATAAAAATGGAGAAATACGCCGAGACGTTGTTACCTTTAATTGTGGTTACAATAAAGCAGCAAATTCATGCGTGCTTATCAAGTAAAAGGCGAATTATTACGGATTTGCCACGACCGACTTTCTATTAACCTCGGCATTGATCAAGTAATTTTCTTCGTATTTTTGTTGAGCAAACGCGACATTTTTGACATTATACTTCCATGTGATTTCTGTGTGGTTGGTCTCTACGTGACATACTTAGTGGAAACCTCATAGGAAGCGGCTCTGAGGAAGACGAAATCCGCCGAAACGTCGGCTTATTCGTGAACAAAGAATATTACGGATTTAACTCTTTTATTTACTGCCTTTTTCTTCTCAATGGCAGGGTATGTTTCGAATTATAACTCGTATGAAATGCTGAGATATTTGCAAAACTCCGGACCACAGGTGTATGCAGTGGGAAACGAACACGCGCTGCTGTCCTTACCGGGGAGCAGCGCACTTCACCAGCGCATCAATCCCGTTGACGGGTGATTGCTGATGGCAAAAAGATCGATAGAACTAGCTGAGATACATGCAAAGCGAAAGACCCGGATGGTGTAGTGGTGAAGTGCGCTGCTCCCCGGTAAGGACAACAGCGCGTGTTCGTTCCCTACTGCATACACCTGTGGTCCGGAGTTTTGCAGATATCTCAGCACTTCATACGAGTTATATTACGGATTTATTTCATGGATTATCGACCCGAATCAGTCAGGTTTTGAAGAAGACAAAGAAACCGAAATATTTTCCCAACAAATCTTTTTATCAACCTTGTGTCACAGAATGAGTGAATCTGCTACAGAATTATTTACATTGCGAGACGCGGATTGCTGGATATGTTGTGGTTGCGACAACTCTTCACAAGTAAATTTGCTTTAAAGAGTATCATATGGTCCTAGAGCAGTTACTGGTATTCTAAAAAATTGCTTAATCTAACTGATGAAGAACACTTCCCGTTTCATCTCCACAATTTCTTCTCATCATGCATGTGTTTGAATTGCTATATGAACATTACATAAGCTGAATAATGTCCTATAGCAAGACCAGTCATTTAATAGAAGTAGAAGAGAGGCCGACATGAGTTAACGTGCAGACGAACCGCAAAGTGTTCGCATAAATGGATAATGAGCCTCTGTCATATTAAAGTATCAGTCTGGGATATTGCATGTGACGTCGCGTGATACTGTGGAATTCTGTCCTGCTCTATATTTTAGATTTCTGGAATTTATCCACAATGCTTCGAGAGTTTTGTGGGCTTGTGATTTCGACTCCTGTGCATGTATACTTACTTCACTTCAAAATCTTCTCCACTATGTCTGTGTGTCATATGCGCGCCTAGTAGACTATTTGGTGTAACCTTAAGTTTATCGACTATCGGTTCCACTACCACAGCAGGTGTTGCTTTAGGAACCTCACAACCGGTTTAGCTTAGATTTCCAGGTATAATCATGCTTTACCAACAACCAGTCTATGTCACATAATTCTCGGAACTTGATTTCCGAGAGCTGACTTCTTGAGCTTCGCGTTTCTATTCATTATCACTGCGAAAACCTGACGCTAGCTATCGAATTCATGTAACCAAGGCGAGGAATTTTCTCGCCTATTCATCGACAACAGTATCTATGATGCGTAGTCTCTTCAATAGCAACACTCTTTCGTTGTAAAGTGAACTTATCGAGGCAAAAGTTTACTTGCAAATTATTAAGTGAAGAAAAGGCTTTTCATGGGGTATGCAAGAGAGCAAAATTCGTAGTAGATAAGCTATCGATGTGGTGCAAAAAATGTAGGAAGGACGTTCTGTATAACAAAACAAACTGCTGAAAGAGAAAATCTTTCGCAAAAACTAATGTTACATTGTTGTTTTCATTGTTTGTTTTTTTTCAGCTTCAAACCCATCTTTCCAGTATTACATCGGAAAACGTAAAATGTAAAAAGATAATTTCTGTTTTGGAACTAACACAAGCCTGCATCGAGGGTCAATTTGAACTCCCGTTCTCGTTTGACGAGAGGTGTTATCACGGCGGAGGCAGTCGATAGAAAAGTGAAACTTCTACCGGTTGAGGAGTTCTATTGTTCTCAATTTGGATATGGTTCTCTCTTCGTGAAAGTGCTCTGTAGAAAGGCTCGATGAAGTGTTTACTGTGAGTCAGGCAGATATCCAGTGTCTATTTGAGTGCGAAATAGAGGAAAAAAATATCTAAGAAACCAAAAAAGAACGAAACTGCAATTCTTGTTTAAGTCATCACCTTAGATAGTGTCTCCAGCACCAACCTTCAAGAAAAAATTCGAAAATGATCTTAGATAGTAAGTAGCGCTGATAAATTTTGAAAAGTGTCGAACTAAACCGCGAATTTTCACGTTAAGAATGCGTTCTAAAACTGGCTGTTGGCACGAAGAATGGACCAGTGGGCAGCAGCTGAGAGTTTGAACTGTTAAGAAGGCCATAGGTTTCAAGTTCGCTCATCCCATGTTCGGGACTCATGGAATGAGGACACGATTTGTAGCGTCGGGGTGGAAATTTTGCCGCAAACACACGATGACACTAGGACAATGGGATTCATCTGTGGAGCCCAAATCGGCAATGAAGCTAGTTAAGATGCAGCTGTAGTATATATCAAAACGCTAACATTTTATTTATTGCTATTGCTGAATTGTAATAGGCAGCAAATAAAAAGTATTGAAAAATTTAATAGGGAGTAAATAGAAAATTAACATGGTGGTTTATACTACAGCCTCAGCTGAACTCGATTCATTGCCGATTTGGGCTCCCCAGATCAATCCCATTGTTGGGTGACTGCTGATGGCAGAGACCGATAGAACTACCTGAGAGACAGGCGAAACCAAGGACCCGCATGATGTGGTCTCGAAAGCGTTACTCCCGGAAAGGATAATAGAGCGTTCGTTCTCCACCGCAGACACCTGCGGCTTGAAGTTTTGCAAACATCTCAGCATCACTGTGGTTGAGTCAAACCTATTACAGTTTTGTGAAAGTTCTAACAGGTAGCAAATAAAACGTTAGCATTGTAATTTTCATAATTTTTCTTCTCTCTCCTTTTTTTTGCAGGGCGTTTCCAACATTTATCTGCTAATTAGGTATAAGAACTAAGAAATATGAACTCGAAAACAATGGAAGTGTCCTCTTGGAGGACCACCCAAACGATAGGACATCGTCGTTATAAAGGTCTCCTATCTGCATTCGTGGATGGAAACGATTTCACGGCTATGGAGGGGGCAAAGCATTTGTTCGAAACAGACAACCAACATGGACATAGATTGAGCGAAAGAGGAATGGATGGATATTATGATGGATCCCTTACTTCCAGTGAAAACAGGCCAACCAAATGTCCATGAAAGCAAGTCGTTAGAGTGTAAATTTTTTATTTACTGCTTATTACAATTTTTCACGGCAAGGTATTATGTGAAACGCAACCACAGTGATGCTGATGCATTTGCAAAACTCCGGACCTCAGGTGTTTGCGGGGAGATCGAACCCGCTATTATCCTTATGGTCAACGTGTTCACCACCACACCATGCGGTCTTTCGTTTCGTCTTTCTCTCGCCTAGTTTTCTATCTAACAGAGCCATCATCAATCACCCGTCAGCGGAAGTGTTCTGGAGCGCACAAATCAACATGGAACCCAGTTGAGCAAAGGCTGTAATTGAAATCATAATGTTATACCTTTTTATTTTCTGCCTACTATAATTTCGCGACAGGGTACTAAGCGAAATACAACCACAACGTTGCTGAGATATGTATTCTTACTTTGATGAGCTTACACGGGGTTGATAATGATGTTTATTTTCGGCTAACGTTTCGACGTCTTCGTCTTCCTCAGAGCCGATGATCCGAGTCGATGGTCCTCGCTTGTTATTCGTCTCGACGTGGCAGCTTCGCCTTCGTGCCGAGTCACGTCTTCTTCGGTGAGCCATCTCCTCGAATGAGGCATCCTCACTCAGTGATGCCCTTTTATACACGATGCTGATGGTCGATATAATGATAATGTCCGGTGAAACAAATAAACAAACAAATAAACATCATTATCAACCTCGTGTAAGCTCATCAAAGAAAGAACACATATTGATTAGTGATACCGAGGTTCAAGGAAAGTCGGTTCCGAAATGTTGCTGAGATATTTGCAAAACTCTGGACCGCAGGTGTCTATGGTGGGGAACGAACGCGCTATTGTCCTTTCCGGGGTGTAACGCGCTGACGGGTGATTGCTGTGGCAAAAAGATCGATAGAAATAGCTGAGAGACAGGCGAAACGAAGGACCCGCATGGTATGGTGGTGAACGCGTTACTCCCCGGAAAGGTCAATAGCGCGTTCGTTCCCCACCATAGACACCTGCGGTCCAGGGTTTTGCAAATATCTCAGCAACGTTGTGAAATCACAATGTTAACCTTTTCATTTACTGCCTACTACAATTTTTCAAGGCACGGTATTACTATCAAAATTTCTAAGTGATTAGATACCATTTATGTTCAACAGAGACCTGTAATCATTATAAAAAAAAGCCCTCGGCGTTGACTAATCCCTGAAGATGTGTCATGAATTAGCCTTCATCAAGCATCGTTTGGAGGTGCATATTGAATGCATATCTGGCCTTTACAATGACTCTCTCTGGCCTATCGAGGTATCGAACCAGTGCTGCTAACCTCCCAAACAAGTCTGGTAACAGTTTGCCGACCCCGCAGAGATGAAAGGCTTAATGGGTAATAGGCGCGGTGATCGATTCCATGTGTGTGTTACAAGGCGTCTCCGACCACTGCGTCCTATGTAAAGATGCTGTAATGATTATGGGTGTGGAACTTATAGTATCGGTAGTGTTATTCTGCTGTCATCTACTGTCATTGAAGATCATCTGCTGTCCAATTCGACAAAAATAAAGGCGAATGAAACAAATGAATTCATTTATCTACTGATAATAAAAAAAACACTATACGCACCGACTGTAAGAGGTGTAAAACAGCATGGAGCACATCGAATCAAAGACCATAAATTATCATATCTACGAACATTATAACGCCTGAGATACTATCAATGACACTTCACCATTATGTACAACACTTGATACTGAAACTAATTTTCACAATATCCACCAAAAAAGTAAGCGTTGGCGGAGAAATAAATTTCCTCCTGCCCAACACATAAGAGGACTTCACCCACAAAAAAGCTCGTGGTTTTTTGTGCTTCGGAATAGTTGGCTTCAAAAACTCAAATTCGCGGGCTTTTTCCTCACTGAAGCTTCTCAAAATAACACCTTTTGATACATTCACGATGGCACCTAAATTTTAGTGGCGTAGGAGTGACGCTTAGGTTATTGTAGAAAGACTTTGTGCTGTACAGAGAAAAGAAACAACTGCAAAGGAAATGCGATGAAATTGAGGAATAGTGTCACAGATGTGTTCAGCAGTGTTTTTCTAACTAATTAATAATTAGAAGTGTGTGTTCTATTAAATAGCGATAACTACAGAGTTGTACATACAATTTCTTGAACAAACACTATTAACTATTAACACTATTAAACACTATTAAAAGACGACCATGAAGAACATATTCTTAACAAATATTTATCTGGACGATAAAGTTTTCATTGGAGTGCTAAATGCCAAGCAGTATTTCATATACGTGCTTCGTTCGTTAAGGTACCGATTACAATTATAAATTACAATGATGAACCAGACTTCTAGAATGAGAGACACAGCATAGACTATTAGTATCGAATAGATGCGCACCATTGTACCTTAATCGACGTTCTTCATTTGCTATATCAAAACCTTAAATTAGTGCGAAAGCTCTCTAACTCTGATATTTCATTTTTGCCCAGCCCAAAAAATTACAACCATGCGATCTGTAAATCAATTTTGCTGCAATAATTTCTATCCATTGAAATTCACGACAATGCAACTATAAGAAACGTTCTTTGAACAGTTGGACATAAGCACCGTATGCTAAGATTATTACTTACTAGGATACTTGGATGACAGGTCGTCGCTGATTGTGCGGACCCCAGCATAACTTCCATATTTTCTGTGTTTTGCTGAATTACCCATTGTGGCTTCCTGGAGTCCAGAGGTCAGCCTGGCTAAAGTCTGCCCCAGATAACCACCACCATAGGCAGTGGCCGCCCTTGTGGATTAGAAGGAAATTTGCCACCACGAGACTAGTTTGATACCAGGACGGCGGTGAATCCTGGTAACAGTTTACTCTTAGCTGGGCTTCCTGATGGAAACGCCGAACTCCTCAGCATGGAAGACCCTGCCAGAGAGGAGAGATGAATACCCTTGCAGCACATCGCAGCCCGACATCCAGAACACCTCCCAGCCACGATAAGGCGAGAAACTGTTGGAAGGGTACGATTATGGGGAAAATAGAACAACTGGGTAAAATAGAGGCTCCTGAAATATCCTCATATGGTTTAGAACCCAATGAAAATCTGTTACCTGTATCGAGAGCGACAGTACTGTGACTTGGATGCTCCATGAAAGGAGCGGCATTGACAAGCCTATAGAATACAGCTAAATCAGTTGCGACTGCCACCATTCCGGCAACCAACACGAAGGCAAAGCATAGTATTGCAATCACCTTAACAAACAGACCACCCAAAAAATATCTAATCAGAAATTCACACATATCAGATAGTCTATTAGAATAACATGAGAGACCTGGAATTCTCTGATGTCAGGCATCTCTAGTTGGAGTTAAAAAAGTGAATAATGTGGGAAATCAGACTATTTAATGAAGGAGAAAACGAGACTATACAATTTTTTTCGGTAAGAGAGAGCGCAGATTTCTTGGAAGTTTGAAAAAATTAAATTTACGTCTAAAAAGGAATATTTTATGAAGCATCAATTCAACCTAGAAGCCACAGAACAAGATCTTTTCCACACTCATGTAAAATTGTAAAGTCCTCAACTGCTCTTCTGACTGAGAACTTATAACAGAAGTTCTGTGGAAATCATTGCTGTTACAAAAATACTAACAACACCGAGAATTTTTCGAGAAGTTGTTGACCGTTTGCGATTTGGATTTTCATCTTGCTGTGTGTGTTATTGGAGCGTTTGACAAGTAAACTGCCAATCAATACACCCTTTCAGGCTCTGAAGAAGGCAATACTGGCGAAACGCCAGCTTTAACGGAATAAAGAATAAAGTAACACTTCGTGTTTGCTCAACAAGAATATCGAGAACTATGTTGACAACCTTCGTGTTCCACCAACAAACATTTAAAGTATACTGGAAAAAAAATTTGTTGCAGTATATGGATTACCCATCGCCTAGTCTAAATGAATAGTGAAGCTGCAATGTGCCTTCAAACACAGTTTTAACAACTTTCCTGAGATGAAAATTTCGTGGTATTGCAATGCAAATTCTCTATTGACCAAGGCACTGGTCTCTAATTTTCGCGTTCCCGGTGGTAGCCAATAAATCTACATTCTTTGACGACTAACGCTTTCGTGGATTTCGCCTTGTTCAGAGCTTGCTGGAGAAGTCAGTTTTAACATGCAATGTACTCGAATAAGTATTTCCAGTGTTCCAATGCTGACGAAAAAATTCAAAATCTAAATTCCGCTCCCATGACAAAAACTTTTAGTACACCGTCTTTAGAAGCAAGACCAACTACGCAGAGTTCGAAACGAAGGCGTTAACAAATTCACGTAGCTAACTGACAAATTGAATAATTGGTAGCCCAAAATTACGAATCGAGTGGCCCGAAACATAATTTCCATGTGAATGTCACGTTGTCTCTTAGGCAAACTTTCTATTCTCTATGTTCCCAGAAACTCGAGTTAGGATGTTTCCAGATCATTACTGCACACAGCCGTCAGCTCTCATAGATCAGAAGGTTTGCCACGCTAGACTTCTTCAACAACGTAGGGAGCGATATCCGGCACCACCTCGTTCTAACTGAACTCGCGAAGCAAAATTCTTATATAAGCGATGACAAACACGATGACTTCGTTTCTCAATATAGTGGTCACTTCAACACCACAGCTTCAGCACAGATTTAGCGTTCTTGTATTTTTATTTGTCATTAGGCAAAACTATTGCATAGACATCTTGAACCCTTCGTCCCCTTAACATAATGAATAGATTTGTTATACTTATATTTATAGATAAAACTTAAAATGTAGATATATCAGCACCAATAAATGGAATTCTCTACGGATTTGAAGCGGCTTATCACTATCCAGAGAGTTCTAAATATAGATCCATAAACAAAGTTGTTTGGATCGAGAAGTATGTAAGATAAGTTTTTAGAGATATGCACCTCTTTCGGAGTCATGTTAAGGTCGTCAAGCTCTTAACAACTATTTCCTGTGGCTAATGTGGACGTACCTGGATAAATATATGTGGTATAAGAAGCAACGCTTGATTTCGGGAGAGACCAACGAACAAGAGGAAAACGGCGAATGATCCTAGACTCAAACCAATCAGTTCGGAAAGGAATGATGCGAAAACGTAGTTTCCCTTTACTCCTCGAGCCTAAAATAATGTTGCAGAATGTGTAGTAATTTGTCGGTTCGATTGCCCAGTTCATAAGAAGTGGACTTTGGCACTATACAAGATTACTAGTATAAATACTATTCTATTTGTATGCTTTTATGCTATTGTTCTTCACGACAGCCAAACGTTAAAATCACAAAAGAGAATTAGTACTAGAAGAAGGATGAAAGAAAAACCAAAATCCCAATTATAACATGTCTGATGCGACCTTCTACAATATAAAAAGATATTCTAAAGTTGCTATTGGATAAAATACATCAGTAACTAGCGCCAGTTTTGGTCCACTTTACAAAATCTTGCAGAATTTTTGTTTCATGTCGATTCTGAACGGTGATATGCTTACATTACCAAGTAGCCCAATGATGAAAAACGCAATAAAGAAAGGTTACAAGGTTTTCGATCAATAACTAAGTTCTATCACGTTTTAAGAAAGCACAGATTTTTGAACAAATAGATGACAAGCATAAATTATAAACTTACGTCTTGTAATCGTCCATCATGTTGAAAATAAACAAGAAGAGAATAAATTAAAAAGAATAAGATCATGAAAATATGAACAACACCAATGAGGTAGGCTCCAGTTTTCACATGAAAACAATTACATAAACATCTATACTCTTCAGAGCTCTCATCGAAGCGAACGGATCGAGGCACCTGAAAACGCATCGCAGTGAAAGAAAGGCAAGTGAGAATGTGTACGATTTGCTAGACTCACATTGCAAATGTTTAGCCGATTTACAACCATGATTTAACAACGCGATTCAATGCTCAACTCTAAAAACTCAAGGACCTTATTCCGGCCATTTTCATGGTAATGACACTTGCAAAGTGTTCTGAACAGATATTTTTCAAAAATCAGGCCGCTGTTCGGCAATTGGCGGTAATTTTTTGTTTTTAAAAGTTGTCTGACGTTACTGTGAGTGACACGTACCATGGAACTGGCATTTCGGTAATGCAAATGGCTCGAAATATGAAAAATGTGAAGCAGCCAACATCATATTGCACAAATTGGCATGCCCATACTTCCAATAACCATTAGTACTTCATAATAGTGTTGTAATCTATATAAATCTGGCAGTGGAAGTCTATAATATTCTATGTAAGATTTTGTCATAAAAACCGAGTTCAATCTGCCGTTAGCCCAGAACAAAGCGACAAATCTTAGGATTGTCTTACCTAGAAAGGCCTCTTTTCCTTTTCTATGCAATTTTCTCCGAAAAACAGAGAATTGAATTGTCTTTAGCCAAGAAAATTGCCGTTATTGGAATGTAAACGGACTCGTTACTGAGTTCAATAACCGAAATCGTAACTGTGTTACATTTACAGAATCCGAGACACATGTTGGCGTTTTTACCATATTTACTAACATTACTAAGTTTATTTGCGAAAGAAGGTGAAAACACTATTATGTTATTTACACTAGAAGCTCTGCAGTTTTATTTCTACTCGACAATTTATAGTTTATAAAGTCAAGGGAATTCAGATAGAAACGGCGCAATGTTCTTAATTTAACCCACATATGACTAGCTCTGATGTGCCAGTGTCAGAGAATTCTGATATGGCAGTTTGCATGACAGGTATGAAATAAACGATTTCGATACAAAACAAAATAATCCTATCCAGAACAAGAAACATAAGCATTCATAACAAGTTTTAGTAAGCTTGGGAAATTTTACACAGTGCTATGTGACATGTGGAAACCTCGAAGTTATTTCACGACTTAAGATTTCATGTTTCAGTTGGATCACTGTGACTGCTCAACTGAAGATTCATCGGGTTGTATCAGAAATGTAAAATCGCCCGTTCACGAAGAAACGAAACGAGATTGAAGTGAACGTATTCCTTAAAGATAATGTGTGCATTAATCTAAACCTATTTTATGTTGTAACGATCACAAAAGAAGCAATATTTCTACCATGACTACTTTCACTAATGTTTTTAAAAGCACATAACTTCTGTCGAAAACATCAGAAACCACTGCCGCTCATAAATAGTGGAAAATAATAAGATAGAGTATGGAGAGAAGAAATATTGATACTGTCCACATTTAATCATTTACCATTGTTATCAAAGGTAAGATGGAATATTAATGAAATATGCGACATTCGAAGTATCAGAAATGACAACATTGACTTCTCATGAAAATTTGAGTGGTGTGTCTTGACGAAGAATCGCATGGGCCCCAGCAGAATTTCCACTTGACTGGCAATTTGTTAGTCGGGCAATATTTTTTCTCCCTGGAGTCTCGAGAAAGCTGTGTTGAACTTTGCCTCGACTGCTTACCAGAGGCCCTTGTCGGATTCCGTGAAACACGCAAAGATCTGTTACCTTAATATCTAGTTGATCCCTGACATCGATCTGCTCCTAGCTTTGATGCCTGATAGAAATGTCAAACTTCACCTGAGATCAGGTCACGCAGATTGGGAATAGACCTTTTAACCTGCATTACATCCCGAAATTTGCTCCAATTTGGTGGTATTAATTTTGTATTAGTCACAGTTTTAAGGTAGAACACCTGCGTTTCCCTTAATGCATCAGCATTTTTTCGTGTTTCCATTTTTGTTGCGAAAAAATGAGACAATCATGTGATATAAAGTTGGAAAGACGAAAAATAAGGAAGGATTAAAAAGCATACAATGAGGAAGCGGAAGAATTTATGAATCGAAAATTCATTAAAAAAAGAGCATCAAGCCACTATAGAAACTGTTCTAAAAGTCGAAGACATTTAAACTGTATTCTATCCTGAACTATGAAATAAATTCTCATGAAAATGAAGGCGAACGCGACAATGCTGGATATTTGACAAAAATCAATGTGACATCAAATCCTTACATGTTCGACCGATCCGTTTTCTGCTCGATTATTTCGGATTAGCACGGAGCGCATAGCGCGACCGTTCATCATCGTGAGGAGCTGGTTCGGAATGGTCTGGAAGAATGACGTCTGTTTAATTAAAAGTACAAAGCAAACAACGGAATTCCACGAGACGATCAGCTACTGATTTAAGCGATAACAAAACGTTGTGAAAATTCACGAGAAAAAAAATTATGCAATGAGGAACAATGAATAGCCCGGTCTTGAACTAGTAATCAGAATTTGTGGACACGACCACAGTATTACTGAGAGCAACAGAAACCCACTGATGCTTACCAATTCTTCGAATCTACATCTGAAAGCTCTGAATTCACTTCCCATTTAAGCTCACTTGAATAAAAACCTCAATATGCCAATATTTGTGCGCTTAACACAAACAATGGAAAATATTATTGAATAGTAAAAAAAAATTAGTTTACACAACAGCACGAGAGCACGTCAAAGTAGTGGAGATGAATGAACGTCAATAAAGCGCACAACAACTGATATTGAAAAGTGCTGAAGTGAAGGATATTAAATTATCGGAACACATTCGCTCTACTGATGTGTACTACAATGTGCAAAACCCTCGAATTACTGCACATAGAAGAAGAAACTCTTCAGAAATCAGCAGAGTCACACAAATTGTTGACTTCCTGCTCATGATCAGCAAACACCACTTCGGCTCAGATGTACCTCTTCAAGGCTTCACGCCACTGGTATAGTAATAAATAGCAACACGAATGAAATAAGGAAGCACTACAGCTTCTCATCACTTCAGAATTAATATCCGATTAGCTGCGATTCAACATAGCTCTCAGTGGAGGACACAGAATTAAGCACCGATCAAGAGCAGTCATATCGTTTCCTTATGACGCAGAGAACTCAAAGCACGAGTTTTTTATTTCTATTTATGTACTATGTGAATATACGTAAAGTGTATACATGAGAACAAGTGTTCACACATCAATATCTGCATAAAGATGAGCGAGTGTATGTATACATACATGTGTGCGCATGTATATCTACACATGCGTTTGTATGTGTGCATGAATATGTATACAGATGTGTAGACAAAGATATATGTATATACATATATATGTATGCATGCTTGTATTCATATATGCATGTATGTTTGTGCGTTGTGTGCTCCTGTATTTATATGAAGTGCGACGTAGGGCGAATTATTTGAATCATCTGTATGAGGGTTAAAAAAACTTAGAGGCCATATCGTCATATAAGAGAAACGATAACAAACGAATCACTCATGACATATGATATCGAAACAAGGATTCAAGCCATCGTTAGCAGCAAATATCCTGACTCTATGAGCAACTTCTACGACGTTAGCGATAGCGTGATATCCATAAAAATATCCATGAAATGTTTTATCGTTCTAGTTGACGCACGCTCTATAATGCTGTGATGTCGGCAAGGAGGAAACCAAATTCTACTGCATTCACGAATAGTAGAGTAATAGTGTTAAGGAAACAGCTGACGAACTTAAGGCTTTAATGAATATGTTACTACCAGAGAAGGCTACTTTGAAAGGGCACAGCACGCAGCGTTATAATATTGGGAAACAAAAACAATACATAATGCTCGAGATGCATTGAATTGAATCAACACTTCTTTGCTCATGCTAAACTTCATCGCTTAAAATGAAGACCATTAGAATTTACAAATCTTTGGCTAAAAGAAATAATTCCTATTGTTCAGCAACGATAGAATTCTGACCCTTCGGAGCTATGAAACCGTATCATTGCACTTTCTGCGTTAAAAATGTCTTCGAACATGAAAGAAAACGACAACTGGGATTTCGTGCAGTAGCACACCATGGTGTTTCCCAACATAGCGTCAATGTTTGCAGCTGCGAAAAAATTGAATTCTATTCTCAGTTTTCTGTAGATTTCGATTTCAATCGTATTTAAGATACAAAGAACATTGCATAAAAATTACACGTGCGACAAAGACGACATAGTAAAAACGTCTCTTCTATAAATCGTTATACTTTCCACTCTTAGACTTCCCTAGTGATCGAGAAACCAGCTTCAGCTGTGAGATATTGAATCCTTCTTACTCTCACTGAATGTTCAACTTTTCCTACTGTGAAGGAATTTCTCTGCATATTATCACGTAGAACAATGGAGTTGTTTGACAAAAAGACAGATACTGGATAATTGTAATTCGGGCTAAAGCTCTCAGAATTCCTTTAGACCACGTATCACAGTTAAACTATTTTCTCACCAACAGATAAGAACACTGTAGTGCTTGAAACAAACGTAGCAATTAGTATAACGAATTAATTAATATGTTAAAAAGTAAAAATCAGTACACAGATCTCAACAATTTGATGACAATAGTCAGCATTGCAAACTTCAAACCATGGAAGTCACATCAGTAAATGTACGGCCATTACAAAAAATGTTCTGGTTCGTTTTTTTCCTGAGATGTGGTTTCATGGCACAGCTTTCACTTCTTTGCCAACGGCCCTCAGTTATCAAAATCCTTGAGTAGACGTGGTTTTTGTGCAAATTTCGATTACAGCACTGATTCGGAGATAAGATAAGAATTATTGATAAAGGTGTTTGCTTAATCGTACATTCACTTTTCAAATGAAATACCCTGCGCCGAGAAATAAGGATGTCATAACGAATGCTAGGAAGAAGCTCGTTTTCAGTTGGGAGCTTGTTTTCGGGCTCGACTATAACTCAATATGGTAACCGCCGATTTCGCACACAGCAAGAAAACAAGCAACAATTCCAGACAATTCTCCATTGAAGACTAATAGATAACTACGCATATTCATTTAAAATGCAATCTCACATGGAGGATGAGCACTGCTAGCAGTGTATTGCCCGCATTGTCGCCAATTACAACTGATTTCACTTCATGCTCTAATGCTAGTACTCAAGCATTATTATCGACTTGCGCTCAGAAACACCAAAGAAACATATGTGAAAAAAAATGGTCGGAAGCTGTTTCATTGGAGAACTTCGAAACAATTTCTTAATTTTACAAATATGTTACTCATAAAAAATATTCCTATAAGTGTCACAGAAGGAAGGAAAGAGACTTTTGGAGCTGGTCTTTATTTTCTGCACAATTCCAACCAACCAGAGATACCACTCATACAAAAACTCTAATCTAAAACCGGCATCACATGCTATTCCACAACTGCAAGGAAAATATGAAAATCCTTCAAGTAACTCAGCAAACTAGTACATCGTTTCTGAACGGTCTGCAAGTTCACTCTAACGGCAATGCGTAGAATGAGCGAGAACATAACGAACTTTAGCTGGAAAAGAAAATTCGGACAGATAGCTTTGTTTATTAGTTTCCAGGCCGCCTATCGGCGAGTTCACAATTTCACCTTTCACTTCTTTTCGGAAAGAATACCAAAAAGACGACTGAACAACAAAACCATCACCAAGCAGTGAGGTATTTCGACATTAGAGGTTACATGTCAATGCATTCAGGAAATAGAACAATAATTTTAACGGAAATAATGTGGCTAAGATTCAGTGAAGTTCTTCAACAACACAAACTTTAAAAGAAAAGAGTAGAACACATAAGCAGTTGGAAGCACAAGCCAGTCAATCGTAGTACACACAATCAGTTGCAATTTAAAAATTTTTTTACAACCGTTTAGCGGTGTTAGACAAGAAAAATGAGCAATTGAAATACGTCCTCTATCAATGGAATTCCTGATTAAGAGCGCAGGTTAGTTCTATTAGGCCACCAACTACTATAAAAGTAAAGTAATCATTAATGGTGAAGGCTTAACACTGGAAGGAACTAAATATAGCTGTGTACCTCATATCCATGTCCCTATTTAGTCTCTACTGTTCCTGCTGTCTCTTAATTACTTTGAACTCCACTGCCCCTACCCTCCCTTAATTACTTCGAAAATGTTCCTTTATGACATATGAACGTAATAGACGGATAACTATTGCTTGGAAAAGAACGTGGGTATTTAGCGTTCATCATCCTGATGAAACACTGTGAATTGCGATAGCCGCGCGCGATGTGAGGTGGCGACTCGTCGGGTGAGTGCCGGTGGTGGCTATCGACATGTACGCAGACGCAGACACACGAACAACAAGCTGATGAAGCGCAAGCGGAATATCGATCGTGTCGTGCGACTTGCGGAAAACTATTTCCGATCGATAAATGGGTCGTCGTCAACAAAATAGCGTTCGGCGTACGTAGACACAGACATCGCGGAACGTCGCGTAGCGGACGGTGCACCGTCGCGTATGCTGTGATGACGCGGCTGCGTCATCAAGACGTCTTCTTCCATTCGCGTCATTCTTCTCCAAATAAATGTGCTCTGTTAGAGTTTTGCATGAGTTGAAGCATAAATGATACAGCACTAGGCTTTGGTCAATCCCTGACTGATGCGCCATGTATTTGACTTCATTGAGTTAAAGGTGACTGAGTGCATATCTGGCCTATACAAGGACTCGCGGTGGTCCACCAATATATCGAGTAAGTGCTGCTATCCTCCCAGAGAAGTCTAGCATCAATTTGCCGTCCCCGATGAGATGGAGGGCTTTGTGAGCCAGCGCTGCAGAACCGAGCCGGCGCCTACGTGTGTATTGCGGTGCACCACTAGCCATTGCGCTACGCTCGCCCCTATGGGAATTGATAGATTATTTGCTACAACTGTATTGTTTCCAATATACGATTTTTAATACAACAGCAAGAACAACAGTGCAAGCCTTTAAGTTTACATTTACTTTGTTTTGAAATGCCAATCTTCAAAAATTACTATTTGTTTAATAGGCCCAGTTCTATGCATCTGCTCTACATATTTTTTCCTGCAGTAAATAGTTGTAGTAGACAATAAAAGAACTGAAAGAAAAAATTATGTGGAGAAAAGGGTGAAGGATATCGCAAATATTCTATGAATCGTCGGATAAGCAGGTAAACACTGGATGATACAGATATTTGTTCTACGTTCTCAAAGAAATCTAGATAGAGAATAACAACATCTCAGGTCCCGGCGGAGTTCAGCTGGCCAATTTAATGGACCTAAACCGCGACGC